CTCTCTCTCTCTCTCTCTCTCTCTCTCTCTCTCTCTCTCTCTCTCTCTCTCTCTCTCTCTCTCTCTCTCTCTCTCTCTCTCTCACACACACACACACACACACACACACACACACACACACACACACACCACACACACACACACACACACACACACACACACACACACACACACACACACACACACACACACACACACACACACACACACACACACACACACACACACACACACACACACACACACACACACACACACACACACACACACACACACACACACACACACACACACACACATATATTCATATTCTTATTCATAGTATAGTACCTTGTATATTGATCTTTATCATAATGACCTACAGTTTCAGGACAATTATGAACTTATTATTAACCTAGTGCTGCCGGGTATAAAAGTTTGGCAAGTGGACATAATAACAGGGTTATTGGCATGCATCAGCAGTTTCCCCTGTTTGTGCCTGGCTCCTTCAGTAGTTTGCAAGTGACATTTGGCACCAAAAGCTCTATATTTTGCTATAGTTTATGAGAATATTATAGTTTTGAAGGTTTTACCTTCATTATAGATACTATTGCCTAAAATGTTTTCTATATTAATGAAGCCGATACTAATGGAGAAAAACAAACTCTATCCGACGAGCCAATGGTGCAGGAATGGTCATGATACGATGCCATCTGTTTTTCGTTCCACAACAGCCATGGCATATGCATACATGCCACCCGGCAGTAATGGTTAAAAGTGAAGTAAATTAATTATTTGATATTTTTTATCAGTTGGTTTGTAAGGATATTGTCTTTTATAAGGAATTATTCATTGATTTAGTTTTATTACTATATTATTATGATTATAATTCTTATTATTCTGAATTTTGAAAATATCCTTGAAGTTTTATCATACATTATCTGATGAAAAAAAAAAAAAAAATCATTCTGCAAATAGTGCACTGTAAACAGTACATATGGCATCCATATGTATTGTTTGCTTACAGCTCCTTGCATTTTATCTTTTAGCATGTAATCACATCAGCACTCTGTTCAATGTTCCATCAGTAGCATAACTAGCAATTACTTTACAGTTTCTTGTGAATCACTGTCTGACACAAAGAAAAAGGAACCTTGATTTTCAGCATGTCACAGTAGACCCAATTGACACAAGGTAGCAAGTGGGTTATCACTTGAGTGTCTTTTCATGCATTCATCTCCTGTATGTAAGCGTTTGTTTGTCCATGTTCTTCAGTGCGCATGTTATTAGATTTGAAAAACACAGTATACATTGAATGTACAGCACTTGCCCAGTAGACGGTTTTTGATGGTAGTTTTCTCTTTTCATTCGTGTAAGGGACACTTACTTATTGAAAATTGAGAATAAAAGTATTGGCATCCCACACATTTCCCACAGAAAAAATTAAATTTATGTCTAGTGAAATGCATAATTTCAAAACAAATAAACCTGTCACTGAGGAAATACCGAGGAGAGGATATTAAAGTGATATAATTTTTGTGATATCATTTTCTCTATACAATATTACAGTCATCACAAGTAGACA